TTTTTTTTTGCTTGTCAAGAAATTTCTGGGTAGGAAATTTTTTGACTGGGGTGGACCCCCCTGGAGAAAATCCCTGGTTCCGCGCCTGCAGTCATTGCGCTTCGATCGTGAAAAAAATCACGTATTTTTTGTGATATTAAAAAATAGTAATTGTACCCTAGTGCTACGACGTTCGCTTCATGATCGGGAGGTCCGGGTTCAATTGTCGTTTGCCGCCCCACGTCAAACCTCTAAAACACAAGACGCGTAAACATCACACCCTATTACCGGCAACTGGGACTACCGATGCAACTGTGACAACAGACGCCAGTGTTGTTTATCGCTTTCACAGGTAGGTGATTTTGATCTTATTTGTGGCAATTTAAAACATCCATTTACTAATTTATTGTGGTTTCCCGTTTTGGTCATACTATAAACTTTTTCTTCGTAGAATATAAAACTATGATTTACTCATTAAAGTAAAATAGGAAAAGAGTCAAGTTAAATTTTAACCATCGTACAAGAATATTTGGTTAAACTGAGCTTATATCAGTAAAACTGTTACTTCACGGTCATATTTCAGGTTGTATATAATAAATTTAGGCTCTTTACGATCTAAGTACAAAATTTGGGTAGTCTTACTTGTTTAATAAGTGTGCTGCAAGCGTTTGATTTGGGTGGGTAAACATTTTTTGGCTATCGTGTACAACAGATTGGGCGAACAATGACAGCAGATTCATAACAAAATATGGCAATCGGAAACAAAGGTTACGAATTTTAATAAAATATAAATCTACTGTGTTTAATCAAATTTCAAATTCCGCGATATATTTATTTTTATTGTAAATATTTGTTGTACTTATAATAGTCGCTTAACGACAGTTACTGATTCAAACTATTCATTTATTACCAATATGAATATGATTTAAGGAATAAAGGATTAATACAATTCGTGCACAATACCTTATGCCATCAAAAATGTTGAAATTTTACACTGTTCTCTTGCGCAAACAAATCATCAGTTTTTCGTCATAAAATCAAGGAGATGTCCAATTGAAATCGTCGTTACATAACAAATGCCTTAGAAAAATGTTTATCTTTATGCTGGTACGTAATAAGCATGAAGAATATTTTACTCTTTACACGAATGGAACGATACATGTGCTATTATTGTGAGCAAACTGAAAAAAACTTTGGGGGAATAATTAGGCATCTTGTTGACAAACATCAGACAAATTGTCTTAAATATCGCGAAAAAGAACTGAACGCTGAAACTGGTCGACTAGGCTACAGAACAAAGTCGTACAACCATATAATTCCTGTTGAAGGAATTTCACGGGATTGCTAGTTTACAAACAATTTCTTCATAGCCCTATTGTTCATACCGGTTATCAAAGAAAGCAAGTATTTAATATAAATCTGTATAATGAATTGTCCATGATTTTTTCTTTCTTTCCTGTGAGTGCATTGTTGTCATGCCGGCAATCTTATTTGTTTAGCAAGTGGAGATAATTAAAAAAGACACTAAAGTAAAAAAAAAGTCAGAATAAAAAAAATTCAGAACAGTAATGGACAGGCTTTAAAATTCAGGAAAATAGTGTAAAAATGTTCCATCTCTCTTTCACAAAATACTGTTGAAAGAGGGATATGTTATATCGGCTATTATGCACAATTAAAGAGTCTGGGGGGTTGTGGCCATTTTTAGACTATATTGATCTCCTGTAGAAGAAGAGCTCCATACGAAGATATAGAAAATGATCAAATTTTAAAACTAAAATTTTTGAAATTTTTCTTTGCCAAATGATAGTTGACAGCTTAAGTTATCATATCTAAAAAATTAAGTTAAATCTGGTGGTTAATTTGTGGTGAATTTGTTGACCCCCCAGCCTCCTTAAAAGATGTAGTTTCGCTGATATTAATGTCTGGAAATTTTATTGATGCAGGCATAGTTTTTTTTTCATCAACCAATCACAAGCGATGAATTCTTATCAATCTTACAAAAATTAAATGATATAGTTGTACTTTAATATATTTTATATCATAAACAGTCAAATTAAACTGGTATCTAATGGCGCTTTCTTGAAAGTTTACCTGAGCGTAATGCTGAGAACTTTCCTGATCCTGAGTTAGCTAACGTCGTATTCTCATTCAATGATTTTTTTCTGCTAATTTATCTAAGCATGGGACCAGTCAATCAAACTGGTAAATTCTTTAAAAGATATTTCGCGAAAATCGTTGGTTCCATGCTTTCTATTTTGCAACAAATGTTGTTGTCCCCTGCATAAGGTATCTACTTTATTTTTCTATGAAAGTTTTCAACGATAAAGTCTTATGCAATTCATTCATAATGGCAATTTACAATTGTCAAACTTAATTAAGAGTTAAAGAGCACACTACATGTAGTCTAAAATGTGTTCATATAGGCATTAAAAATAAATGTATGTACATACAGCGATGTATGCACGTGTGTAAATTATCATAGACCTTGGAGCTTCAGGTCTATGGTATTATCAACCTCAGAGGTGGCGCTCTATTTATAACTTAAATGGATCATAAAAGTAGTTATATTCTTTAAGTAGTATATATCATGTATGTAGACATGGGACCAAGCATATAAAGAAGAATAAATTGTATCATTATAACTAGATACATGTATCAAAAAATTGGAAATATTTATCGTTCATATCCTTATTTTTTAAAAATCATCAAACGATTGCAGTGTACAGTCATCAGCAACAGAGGATATCAAGGATGGTTTTAAATACTGATATTATATTGAGGTAAACTGATAATTTTTGTGTTTGAGTTGTTTCCAAATTTGTTGTAGTTTTGAATATTTTTTCTTTGATTCGCTTTTTCTTTTCATTAAAAAAAAGCTGATGTCCCATGCTCATTAACCAGGAAAAAAGTCGCAGCCGCATTACTTGAAGACATAAAGAGAATCCCTTTTCCAAATGCATTTCGCAACGGCCTCATGCTTACATAAATTTTGACCGATTCCTAACGTTTATTCGAAATCCTTAATTACAATTGATACATCCAAGAATGAACCATCAGCGGGTTCTACTAGGTCTGACCATTCCATTTCTAAAAAAAAAAGAAAAAAAAAAATTGTGCAATTAAGGGATTTTTTTTAAAATCATAATTAACCCCGCTATCTTAGCCAATTCTGATTTTATGAAGAAAATAATCAAAATTACATCGTTGAGCTAGATGATTTTTAATAAATCTAATAACTGCTATAAAAACAAAAAAGTGTTGCTCAGTATTATTCACAAAAAGTATTAGTCCTAAATTTAAGTTATTTCAAGGCATTTGTCATAGTCTAAATAACGACGGTTTTCAAATCTTAATGTTCCAAACTATAATTATCCGTCAAGTGATTCCAAATTATAGTAGCCTTAGTTGATCTACATTTTGCTGATGAGAACATCGAAAAGTGAATCAAAGTTGTTACCGATTGCCATCATCTGTCGTCAGTGTTTGCCGTGAAATCATCCATCTGTTGTACACGATAGCCAAAAAATGTTTACCCACCCAAATCAAACGCTTGCAGCACACTTATTAAACAAGTAAGACTATCCAAATTTTGTATTTAGATCGTAAAGAGCCTAAATTTATTATATACAACCTGAAATATGACCGTGAAGTAACAGTTTTACTGATATAAGCTCAGTTTAACCAAATATTCTTGTGGTTAAAATTTAACTTGACTCTTTTCCTATTTTACTTTAATGAGTAAATCATAGTTTTATATTCTACGAAGAAAAAGTTTATAGTATGACCAAAACGGGAAACCACAATAAATTAGTAAATGGATGTTTTAAATTGCCACAAATAAGATCAAAATCACCTACCTGTGAAAGCGATAAACAACACTGGCGTCTGTTGTCACAGTTGCATCGGTAGTCCCAGTTGCCGGTAATAGGGTGTGAACATGGGTAGTGAGTCGCCAAGCGCCTGGCATTAGAAGTGAAAGACCCAAATTTTCGGATGATGCCTTAAAAAACGAGGTCCTATGCCACGGTAGACATTGGCACGATAAAGAACCCTCACTGCTCAATGGCCCTAAGTGCACAGTGCAGGTCTATATTTAATGTCCATCACTGGTTTAAATGAGTGAAAAATTCTAAAACAACTTTAAATCAATCAGTGAAATGGGAGGGTGTTCGTTTGGTACCTAAGAATTTCCTTTAAAACAAAACAATATCATAAATATTTTTTAATGAATCTTTTAACTATTTAACTGTTAAAAGTAAGGCTGTTAGATTTTCAAAAAATTATTTCCAGAATGCACCAGAACCCACCAAAAGTGATTCCCATGTTAAATTTTTTTCAGGTTTAGGAGAGAGGGTACATTCCAGATCCTCCCCAGCCCCCCCCCTCTCTCTCTCTTTCCAAGAAACCTGTAAACAGCACCTCTTGTGAAAAAAAAAATACGATTAATAAATTAAATAATAAAGATTATCAACATAAGAATAATTTATCAATATGTTTCCTGAAAAAGGATTTAAGAGTTTGGTTTGGAATAAACAAATAATTAAATTGTCTTTGTCTTCTATTCCCTCTCAGTTGTTTTAGTGTTCGGTACAGAAGGGAGAGATACAACGTTACTTCTCAGCACATTATTTTGAAGCAGATAATTTCAAGTGGATGTGCCCGGGGGGGGGGGGGGTCCACCAATGCAGGGACACGTGCCTGCATGTGTTCGCTAAAATATCTAGGACGTAAAAAGGGGCAAGTTTGAAAGGGCACTAGCACATAGAAATGCACAAATTGAACAATATGACAACTTTAATCGCAAGTTCTTTTATTCTCCGAGTTTCCTTCAATTAATTTAGGTTTGTGTTAAAAAAAAGAATTTAAATAAATTTTAAATCAATTATTTTGATAAGTAAAATCGAACGATTTTCCGAAAGTAATATTTGGTGACCAACGAATGTAATTCCCGTGTTTATCAGATAGGATATTCGTAATGCCAGGTACATGTATGTCCATCTAATCGAACGAATTACAATTACCTTGAATGAGCGTGCTGATCCCCAAACCACGTGTGAGGACGTGAGTAGTTGTAAGTGTAATCTTGTAGATACGCCCTGATTGGAGTCACCTCCGGGAAATCGTTCAAAATGTCTTGTAACTTCTCACTCCCTGCCATTTCGAATCCGAAAATCACACCATCTTCGTGGCGTTGACTGAATACAATCAAGTGCGATGAATGGGCTTAGGATCACTGTTAATTCATATGCTAATTCTAGTGTTCGTGGTTTAGAGGAAGTGTTCCAAAAATAGATTATCTATGCTTCAGCGATTCTTTGGTGCCTACACGCTGTTATCTATAAAATGCTAGTTTCTTCAAATAAAAAGTAGAGGAAAGGGATTTTATCTCGAAATCCTTTACATATAATTAAATGATAATATTTTTAAAGATGAAAAAATATTAATGATAGAGATTCCAGCACATCACAACTTATTGGTTAAATCGAACACGCTTACTTATTCTAAGAACTCAAATACAATGGGAATTTAGCGCAGCTTACTATCAAAGCTAATCGCTAATGAAGATGAAATACTGGTAGATGATAATTATTAGAATAAGATATAGCTGTTCATGCGTAGATCTAGAAGGGGGGTTCGGACCCATCCCCCACCCCCACCCCCCTGGAATTTGCAGAGTTATTAAAAAGTATATACTGAAACAAATAAAAAATGACTTTGCATCCCCCTTTCCCACAGAAAACGTGGACCCCACCATCACCACCACGAAATAGGTGTTATTCACGTTTGAGAAATGGATTTTACCTTTTCTTTTTGCTGGAAAAAATTCCTGAATCTGCGCCTGCTGTTAATTATTCAAATACAATAGAACCTATTCGTGATATGTTTAGGAATACTAGAAAGGACTTTGTGTATGCTATTACACCACTAATTATTTTTTTTAAAAAGCCAAAAATTTTCAAAGGTATTTGTAGACACAACCTGTCCCCCTCCCCAATCTATAAACGGTCCTTTATAATATGTGTTCAATGTGAAAAAAAGTAGAATAAACGTTACTAATATTCTTGTAATCATACTAGCAGTATAATTTTATGATACAATCACCTTTGGATATTTTTCAACTCCGCGCAGTTTACCTTTTTATTAAAATACAAAATTTGTGTAATAGTTTTTTTTAAAATACATTACTTTTCTATGGTTTATATCTGATCTCAAAAAGATCTTTTGCAAAAGTGGATCACATCAGATTCTTAGTTTTTGGTTCGAAGAACAGTGTAACTATAGTAACTGTAAGAAAGTTTACTTGTTAAAAACTCCTACAAAAACTTATTTCAATGAGTAAACTTCAAAATCAAGACACCCAATGCTGCACAAATATAATTGTGTGCCAGCATCCGTGAAAGGGGGGGGGGTCCATAACATGATCCTTAAGCCAGTTTTCATAACCCACCCACTTCATTTTCCATCCCCTTTGCTTAAGTTTGCTTGTTAGCATTTTAAGCAGACCTGGAGAGTGGAGACAGCAATCAGTTTATGAACTTTTTGCTGATCTCTCAACATTGTGTTCTTGTCTGCTTACCCCCCACCTTTTGGATCAACCCTTAAGCTCACTTGCCCAAATTACTGGCGAAGAAAGAAAAAGTCAATGTAAATTAAAAAAAAAAAAAGAAAAACTAAAAATACCAAAACACAAAAAAATTATGTGGGGAGTTGGGGTTTAAAGGATTCTAACATGGGAAGGTTTGAGTATACTGCAACAAGAAGTTGGGGCAAACCGGTCCTTGAATGAAAGTTTCCACATAAAATTTAGAGCAAAATTACATTCTCATTAAAAAGCCTAGGACAAGCACATTGTCACATATATGGAAATTAAAGACCACTTTTACTGCCTCTCCTCTGAGGAGATTTGAACCAGTAACCTTTATGTACAAAATAGAAATCTCCTAATAATCCCATAATTCTTTGTGTCAAGCTTGGGCTTTGAAGACCATAGAAGCAAGACAAACTTTGATCAGAATAACTCACCCGCACCTCACCTTAATCAAGATTTACAATTAAACAGTAGAAACAAAACATTTTTATGTAACTTTTTTAAAATCAGATTTTAAATGTATTTCACCTACTGGTATGTCTTATACTTTTTGTCCTTTTTTGAAGTGTCAAGTGAGCATCCCCAAATAAAGGTTTTTCTGACTAAAACGAATGCATTCACCCTTACGAGTAAGTTATTTCGTCCTTAATAGCCTCAGATTCAATGAAATTCTGTTGCAAGTAAAGTGATATCATCTAAATTGTCTCCACAACTTAGTTTACACTAATCAGTCTTTGAACATGATCTTACAAATATAGGCCTATCATGTAACAACCATTGCTGGAAGGTTGAGACTGAAAGGTAAATTGGTATATCATAATCACAACACTGTTACAATTTCATAATACTGTTGAACTTCAGTATCTCGAACACCGATATCTCAAATACCATGGATATGTCGAAGTGATTTGGAAGTCCCAACTACATATTCCTTTAGTATTTTACCCACGTCATCTCGAATCCTCGGATATCTCGAAGTTTTTTCTCGGTCCCATGGAGTTCGAGATAACGAGGTTTGACTGTAATTCCGACCTTGACCTTTTAACCCTGAAATAATTTAATCATCCTGGTCATCTCCACTTCAAAGATGTCAAATCATGTCCAAAACACTTTTGAAAGCTCACTATAAGTTTGACAATGACCTTTGGACCCTCAGATGAATACCATCTCTATTGGAGTGAGAATCTAAACAGACGAATAGTACTTTATACACTGTGTTTAAAAGAACATTGGTAAGATGCCATCCTTGACCTTTGGACCCTTAAATGAATAGAATTGTACCCCTCTGCCATCTCTGGCAAGTTTGAGACTAAAGAGGTAAAATAGTGCTCCATGTTTTATTAGCCTAACACTACTGGGGACAGGGACATGCAGACACACAAATAAAGATGGGATAAGAAGTAAACAAAGAAACTTTGAGCTTAAAACTTTTTAATATACACATTTCTCACAATTAAAACATCATCCATCACTTTGACCATCACACAAGAAAAAAAACTGTTACCAATACAGTCCTTGACCATACAATTTAATCTCACAAATTGTTGCAAAATCTAACAGCCTTTTTTTTCCTCTAATGACTTTTGTAAAAGTTAGTAACTGCTGTATGGTACAAAGTAATTTGTACTACCGATGCTTATCTGTATGAAGTTTTTAAAGAGTTTAATGAATCTTAAACTTTTTATCTTAATCAATTTGAAATATTTTATTCTCTCTATAAAGGAACTGTGGAATGAATGTTGAATAAATAGGGTATATTAGTACTTGGACATGAAATATATTTACAAAAACCATCATCACGTAACATTATCAGATTTTCCTCTATTCTTCTTCAAGGGCATCTTACTGGGTCAATATAAACAGAATACTGAAAACAGACTCAATTTCACAAAAATGGTGCCAACATTCAATAAAACTCTGTATAAAATCTCTTACACAGCTCAACACAATCCTGTATTTCCCTTGCAATAAAATCTTGTCATTCAATAAATTATATTGTATGAGATTCGAAATATGCCATGTTCCCCTTTTTCTAATGACTTAACTTCATCGAAACAAATCTGACTTGACTCTGCAATACCACAATACTTCTGTAAAAAAAAAGTCTTTCCAAAGACACCCCCCTTAATAAAATGATTACAAATCTAATGTGAATAAAAATTTTGTTTAAAAATGTACGCATGTATACTTTAAAGAGCTTTTCAATACAAATAAAATTTGATTTTTGTGCATGTTAAAGCAGTTGTGCATTTAGTAGGATAGTATGCTATTCGTCATGGTTAAATATCAAAATTGATGATATGAAACAGACCACTTTGATCATTTGAATTTTCAAAGTACAGACTTTGATAGCTACACTTATTTATTTATCAGAATGGTTACTGCAGATCACTAATTTTTTCGTGAGTTATTTTTATTTAAGAGATTGTTATTTGGTATTTATAAAGGAGATAAAATTTTCACAAATTTTAGTTATTGCTGTATATAATCTTTAATAATGGAAATATACATACACGAGAATGTAATTTTCACGAGCAGGCAATCTCGGGCAATTACCCGAATATAAAATTCTCATGAATGAAAAAGATTCACAGTAATTCAATGAATAGTGAACAGACACCCTGTTTTGATACCATCTCTGAGAAATGATTGATAGAACTACATGTATATCCACAGAAAAATTTCTTGTGATTAAAAAAAAATAAACAAACAATAACATCTCCCATAAGGTTGGCATCATTTTCACCATTTCTGCTTCAGTGCAACTTCACACTATCAGGTCGTTATCAGACATGTCACACAGAGTTTAGAAGGTCCAATACAGTCATGGTGACAAAATGCCCCACATTTTTTGCACATTATCATTGCTTTCAAACTACAAGCACAGCTAGCATTTTCACCTCCCGCCAAAGCACTGGTCAAGATTGCAGTAGGCAGAACAATTTTTGTTGTGCCGTTTCCTGTTGAAGAAGGAACTGTGACAACTGAGGCTTGGTTGGTCAAAGTTTTCCCCAGCTGTGCTTCCTTTTTCATCTGACTGACCAGTTGACTTGCACTACTGACGATGACCCTGGACACTGTTGCTGCTGGTGCTTGTGGGAGTTTTGCAGACGATGACTCAGCAGCAGCATTTACTGGTGTCTGTTGAACCATGACTGAGTTACCCTCTGTACTGCTGGTCTCTGGAGTTGTTGAAGAGTCTGCAATTTTTGATTGAGAAGTGCTGGGCTCACCAGACACTGGTTGTTGAACTCTAACAATCTTTTGCCTTTGCTGATTCTGGTGTTGTTGTTGCAATAAGTAATGTAGATGCTGCTGAGAAGAACCAGCTTCTACTCTGTTACTACTTAATCCCACACTAGCTGATCTTGATACAGCTTGTACTTGAACACTTGTTGGGGTAACTTCATTCTGGGGAGGAGCACTGGAGGCTCTCGATGGCTGAAGTGATTGCATAGTCACTAAATTGCTTCCAGGAGCTGAGTTCAAAATTTGTACAATACTAGAATTACCAACAGCTGTAGTTGGAATTCCAGAAGGGATTAGAAATTTGGCATTTGATCCTGGAACAGTTACCACCCTAGCTGTTGTAACCTGGGGCTGTAATGTAGTCGGGGGTTTTGTCACACGCACAACAAACTGTTCTGATGCTTCTGCATTACCAGAAGCCAATGTCTGTAAACTGGAGGAAGCTGGGAGAATACCAGAGATTGAAGGAAGAGTAGTCATATTTTCAGAAGCAGGAGTGTTTGCAAATACAACTTTTGAGGCACTTTTTGCACTCTGAGTCAACAATGCTGAGGCAGGTGGCTTTGGATCTTGTTTTAAAATTGCAACAGGTTCTGTCGTAGACACAGGAGTATTGATTTTAACTTTGCCATCTGCATTGACTTGATATGAAAGCCCTCCTGTTTTCTTTATCACATCTTTACAGATTTGCAAAGATCTTTTTAATTTGATCCCATCCTTTGTTTCTTCTGGAGGTTCAGGGACATTGGGATTTGGAGGAGAAGATGGTGCCTTACTGGGGATACTTCGCTGTCGGCCATGCAGGATGTTAGGTACCTGTCTTGCCATTGGTGCACTTGGGAATGTCAATTTTTTCACAGTTGTGGGAGCATTAACTTCCTGTGGTTTTCCTTGATTTCTCATCTGAATTTTAGCTCTGGTCTCAGCTTTTATTTGGGCCAGAGTTCTAGTCTGTCTCTCGATCTGTACTGGTGCACCTCTTGCTGCATTTGTCTGGACTTTGATTTGTGCAAGAGTTCTAGTCTGGGATGACATATCTTGGGATGATTTAGGGGGAGAAATATGTGTTTGGGCTCTTGGAGCAGAGTAAACAGTTTGTTGCATCTGTGAAAGAACAGGTGAGGTAGCAGTGCTTAAAAGGGAGACTTGTTTTGGCTGGTTCACACCTGGACTGGTATCGATTGTTACAGGCCTGGTAATTTTTGCCATCTGATTTGCAGTACACACTTGAATAACAGTCTTCAAAGGGGAGTGTACAGGGGCTATACGGTTTTTCTTTGAGGGACTCTCACCTCCATCTTCATTCTTAATATCACCTGACAAAGATCTTTTCAATGTTTGATGACGCATCACATTTTTGTCACCTCGACCCATCACAAATTCGGATTTATCATGAGAAATTTTCAACAAGAGACCACTTTGAGATGAGGGTTCACTAACATATGTACTGTTAACCACAGGTTGTGATACAGTCTGTGATATTTTCTCCTGTTTGATTAATGTAGACACCTTTGTTGTGGATTTTTTCAGGGCTGGCTTAATTTTCATTTTGGGAATAGGAGGCTGGGGAGGGGGAGATGGAATATCAGCCTTTGGGACAGCCTGACCACTGAACCTGTTTTTATGAAGATAAAATTGTTTTAAAAAAAAGCATAAAATACTTTGGTAATTCAACAGAAAAATTATACAATTTCAGCAATTCCAGTACTGGTATTTTTAATTCATTTTGCAACTTAAGTTAAGAAATCAAATTTCCATAGTGTATAAACTTGTCCAAAAATTAAAATTCAAAATGTCTCCAACAATTAGAAATAAAAAAAAGAACAAAGTTTTCTTTTACCTCTTTCCCCACACTGGTTCAAAGTGCTTGGCCTAAAAATTCATAATTGGCATTTATTAAATGCATAACATTGTCAGAACTAATCTTCATTTATTCTGTCTTTAACCTCTTTTTTCCACAAGGAAACAAAGCACATATAAATTTGTTGATTACGGCTCACCTTCCAAGGATCTAGTTTTGTTTGTTCCTTTTCTTCATCCTGTTTCAATCGTAATTGATTTTCTGGAGTGAATTCACCTTAGAAATGAAAATAAATCTTAATATGGTAATTACCTTAAAATTGAAGTTTACAGAATAATGAAAATCTACAAAAAAATTACATTCAATCTTATTTTAACTGGACAAATTATCTGGTTTCAAAACACATGGAATACAGGATGTATTTCTCGTAGTTTTAAAACAGATGCCAAAATGCATTTACAGATAGCATAATATAATAAGTTAGGTAAGAAACAAGTATACTATATACATGTAAAGAACCTCAATGAATGGTATTTCAATTTTCCACGAAATATCTTTGATGAAAACTGTTCCAGTAAAACATACTGAATTTGTATTTGTCACCAAGTATAAATGTTCAAACCTTCTGACAACCTCTCCCTCCATTCTTCACATGCCTTATTGAAGAATTCATTATTAAAAGCAGTGGTGCTCATCCTGAAATGAACACATTGACAGTAAATAAGCTATCTTTGATCTTTGATTTTACAGTATAACTGTCTTTTGAAGCATTTATGTTCCTCTTGATAAAATCATAAATGTACAACAATCTGAATGAATACAATGTAAAAATTCATGAGAAATGCAATGTCTGATATGGTGATTACTTAACAGAACTCTTTCTCGATGGAGGTAGGAAACATCTATTAGTTGGGGACAATGTGCTGTTGAATACAACACGAGATTGAGCATTGTGGATTTTTTAAGGACAGATAAGAAAGAAGTCCTGGTCCCAAGACCATAAACTGAGAACAGACTTAAGTCAAAACTTAAAATCAATATAACATTTGAAATAATTTTGATAATGAAACAAAATTTTCATCACATATTTGAACTTGAATATAATACAAACCTGCGAATTTTTAAGCACATATTTTAAATAAAACTCAGATATTCAAAATCAAATTTTGACTTAAGTCTGTTCTAAGTTTGTGGTCTTGAGCCCTGGTGGAATATCTTACTGAAATTTTGCTGAACTATGCTAATAAAATTTGAGAGGATCTAGTCCTCATTTGTTTCATTTTCTTGATAATTTTCACTAAGCCGACTCTTCTAATTAAATTCAACCATTTCTTTCTAATAAAAGTTTCTTTTGAAAGCTGATGAAATACTCTAAAACATTCCTGATTAGACAACCTACTATTTGGAATTCAACCTTCAGGAATACATTGTACTTTTGAAATGCTGATTTTTCAAATCATTCAGTTGTCACCAGTTTAAATACATTGTACTTTTGAAATGCTGATTTTTCAAATCATTCAGTTGTCACCAGTTTAAACAATGCTATGCTCCAGAAATCTTGCAAAATTTAAAGCTTCCTCTACTTTGCCACAAAAGAGCAGCAGTAAGTTATATAACTGTGATGTAATTTCGATACTAAGTACTGACACTATTTTTTTTTTTAATTATCTGTTTTAAACTGAAACAAAATTACCTCATACTTCCTTTAACAAGCTTTAATAATTAACAACTAGTTCATTTTAAGCTTAATGTTGAGTCCTACACATGCATCCATGAATTACCCCCAAACTCTGAATTCCTTGATTTGTTTTCCAAAATATTCTTAATGCTTGAAACTCACCTGAATTTGCTTTCCGTTTCCAGAATTCTGTCACATTCTGGGAGAAGCTGAAGAAGTTTGTACTGGTAATGAACCGGTAACAAATTAAATGTAGATCTTCCAAACAGGGCCTGTAAACAAGAGGATATCTAACTGCTAATGAACTGGTTTACAAATTAAATGTGGAGCCATCAAACAGAACCTGTGAACAAACAGCTGCAGAACTGTAGCTCTCTGGTTGAGAACATTCTGACAGACAAATCAGAGAGCTAAAGATCCAAGCACTGCAAAATACCTTCATTGGGTCGTAGTAAAATTAACATGCCCAAATTCATATCTAATTTTTTTTATATATATACACATTGCCTTCTTCTATAGAAGCTATAGAGAATATGTGATCCCCCAAAAATTTTAATTTAAATTTTCTCGGTATGTGTGTGTTCTTTGATGTGTATTTTAACATGGACGTCGGAATGCAAATTTTCAAAACTGACATTTGAAGGCCACATAGGGTTGTCTGGAACCATTGAAAGGTAAAGTAACAACATTAGGAGTAAAAAATATGATTAATTAAAGGATACCATGTTTTTGGCATGTGATGTATAAAATACCAGGAATAATACCCTAAGAGAACAACAAAAAGGTGGCACTGTAAATTGAAGGTTTTACAATGCTAAGATCTGTAGCTCTCTGATTTTTCTGTCTGAATTTTCTCGACCAGAGAGCTACAGTTCTGCAGCTAGTGAACAAACAGATATCTAACAACTAAATTAATGTTGCTGTATTCTATTTTTCTGTGTTCCTTCAATGAATAGTCTGTTCAATGTGCAGTTAAAGATCTATACAGGTGCTTGCTTTCAGGTCTATTTATAGAGAGCAGTTACTCCTTGTTTATCTCATTTTTTTAATTCAAAGGAAACAACAACAACAAATAAAAATCTCCCTATACCCGAAGATTGGTGTTGACCAGAATGGAGTCAGGAGTCTCCAGGTCTATACATCCCTCCTTGGTTTGGGCAATCTGTGCTGCATGACTAAGCTTTCTGTTTCTACTTTTTCTTGGCTAATGAAGAAAAAATGAAATGCATCTATGGACTAATAAATTCATAAAGACTTACTCATTTAAGAAAACTACACAAAATACACACGGGACCCACTGACCTCGAAAATCATTCCTACTAAGTTGACTGAAGTCTGTCTGAAAGACTTCAATTTTACAATTTTAACAAGTGCTCTGACATTGCTAATAACTATCATACAAACATTTTCAATGTTGTCTATAGAAACATTAGTTTTGTTGCAATTCAAAAAAGACATAAAAAATAATACTGTCGTTGTATAAAATTCCATCTGAACAGCTACATAATACAGACTCTTTTAAAGCAGATATTTTAATAAAAAAAACGCATCACAATTCCATGTGTCTCTGGTGTACCTTCATACTTATGCCAGGGATGCCAGCTAACATTTCCCTCATGGTTTGGGTTTTTTGGAAGCCAGACAATCCTGGAGATCTCTCAGAGGAGTCACTCTGGTTGTCATCAGAACTATGGTTTACACCATTTTCCACCCTTGTACTTGTAAAGGTCACTTTTGTTTCCTTTGCCTTTTCATCTGCAGAAAATTACGTATGGTACTACTATATTCCAACTTTACAAAGACATATATATTAGAAATCTCTGCAATGTAAAAAAAAAAAAATACCAGGATATCACAACATATAAACTTTTAAAAATCTTAACTGGACATTTTATAAAAAATCTTGACTTTTTTAACCAACAACTGTAATTTCATCATTTTATTCATTGCTAAATATTATGCCTATGAAGTGTCCATTATTCTATATTTTTACTTTGTTAAACTCATTCGAATAGTTTTAAAAATTATATAATGCGGTATATAAAAGCTGTCAAAGAAATATAATTCAAGCAAAACTAAAATCTAAGTTTTACTACACTTGCTTCTTATTATTACAAATACATGTATAACAATCGGAGAAATGTGTCTACAAGACTGGTGTTCAACTTTACCTACCTTTAAGTATACACATTCTCTAACCACTGAGCTGATGTACTGCAGAAGCACAAATTTTCGTAGGGGTAAAATTTCAATGAATTGTCATCTAGAAAGGGTTCATGGGCATTAAATTTTTTGTTTTGAAAGTAACCTTATGCAAAATATACACATATATACACGTGTGAAAATTCTGTGTGGTATTTTTTGTTGATAATTGTTAACAATGAAATTAACGAAATTTAATCCCCAACAAATATTTGTGCTTTTTACAGTATGTAATGCCCTGTTACACAAGTCATAAAATAATTCATAGATTCTCAAATTAGCAGTTTCAACACTGATTTTGCACACAACCACAACAGGGGTACACATTTGTCATTTTGAAATACTACCAGTACCGTCTTTAGGAGGTGGAATGGGTTTAATAATAATCCTAGGGAAGTCTGGTCTTTTCTTTTTCTGTTGTCTCATACTCCTCCTGAGTGCAGTGCTCTCAGTTGAGGAATTTGTACCATTGTCCAGGGTCTCTGAAGACATTGTTGAACTGCTCTGGTCTTTTTCATCCACTACTGAAAGTGGTTCATCTTCATCAGATTCTGTCGGAGGTATTGTCTTGTAACCATTTGGTAGCTTTATATACATCACTGAAAGTAGAAGTATGAAAATATAATGCATCTCAATTCTTTAGATGTGAATCTGTTAAGCCATTTTTCTTAAAACCAAAAAAAGCAGTTGACTTAGTCATAATTTTTTTAAATTCATTATATGCACTTTTCTTTAAAAACATGTATTTTAATCCTTTTAATCATGAGGAATATCATCTACTTCCTTGAATGAGTATTTTAACACCCTCTCATCATTTACCATTTTCCTTTCTTCTTTCCTTAAAAGATTTCTCCTTGTCACTTTCTTCTCCTATATCCTCTGTAACCTCTAGTAGACTTGAGCCAGCTGGCCTATCATTCTGTTGACAGTGAAAATGCCTTATACATGTAGAATTTAAAAAAACAAACCATGTACAATGAATAAAGTTTTACATTTAGTTATAAATTTAAGGCAAAGATCTAGTAAATGAGTTTAGACTGTCCTTTAGGTGTTAGCCCCATTATCACATCATAATTCAGTGTTTTCCTTTTATATTTCAAATAAAGTATAAGAAATCACTTGTAACAGGCTAAGGGTTGGGGTTTATGAACAGAAATCTCTGTGGACCTTATAACAATTATTTTTAAAACCTTTTGATTTCTAAATGGCATTTTAATCAACTGAAGTGGTCAATTTGGCCAGTAGCTGTTTCTTAGGGAAAACATTCATAATTCACTTAAGAACAGATTATACAAGCATTTTTTTTTCTTCAAAAATCCTGAAAATAACAACTAAAGTGATGCTTATTTAAGTAAAATTTTAAAAGTAACTACATAGGATTTAACTTTTCATTCAAAGTTTCACAATAATGTCCTATAAAGTGAAAGAAAGTTTTAAGATTTATATAAGTGATTGCAGAAATGATAGTTTAAAAAGAAGTTTTTCATTTTTCTTATCTTACATAAAAATTATGCCCCAATGCAGCTTATTTGACCAAGCTATGCAGGGTTCTCACTAGGATTTTGCCAACTTGAGTCCCAGGACTCAAGATTTCTGAGAAGGTTGCGTCCCAGCTAAATTTGATGCGTCCCAGAATAATTATGTTGAGTCCCAACTAAATTATTGCAGTATCCTTCCATCCAAACATCAATAAAAATCTTTATCATTTTATCAGTTTGTTTACGCAATATTAACATATTCAAGTATATAAACCATGTAAACTGGTAATGCATTCAAGCAACATTCTAAAATACACGCGTAATCAGTTGCCATAAAAATTAACTTGGTGTTTATAAAGCTAAAATTAACTGTTGCATAATCAACTAGTACCCGAAAGTTGACTGTATACAATCACAGGTGTCATGTGCAATGAGGCGTAACTAATCCTGTCGGTAGTCTGCACTGGGTGAAATTCACAAGATAATCAAGCCGCATTGTGTATACAAGCAGTAATTATGGTTTCTACATGTAGACACTCAAGATTCAAAAGTTTTTTTTTTTTTTAAAAAGAAGAAGCTGCAGTGTGTTTACAGCTGTCGGAGTTTGACATGCAACATTATTATGACTATGGACTAATAAACATGAAGTATCTTAATTATGATCAATCCCTGTTTAAAAAAAAAGAGAAATAAGTACAAGAAAAGTTATTTCTTGGATGAACTTTATGATAGTCACAGGAAGGTTTCGATTAAATATTTCTTTGACAAATCCTAACATCTAAATTCCCCGTTTTTGAAATTACCCGAATTTTCTCGCTAACGAGGACGCGTCCGATCATGAGTCCGCGGACGCATCGATTTTAAGAACCTTGCGTCCCAAGTAATTTTGCTGCGTCTAGGACGCAGATTCTTGCGTTAATGAGAACCCTGCTATGGCTATTAAGCATCAAGGAAATTCATTTTTCAATTTTGAGAAACCTGTAGGCCCCTTGCAGTAACTAGACGTTTTCCTAGTTTTATGATAAAATGTAAACAATTTTATGAATAAAGTGTAAATGATCAATAGTTCATGCATTCTGTTTAACACAGTTATTTTTAATTTACTTGGCAAAGGATACAAAAAACAGATTTTACTGGACATCAACCTTGGAAGAATACTCCTGTAATAATATAGCTGTTTTAACTAGAGTTGTCTTAAAAAAGGACTGATATCAGACAAACAGGTAAGCTATCCAAACATGTACCTCACGGAGTATCCACAGATACCCCTTGATATACACCAAAAAGATTAAGTGATCTTACCATTAAGCTTAACTTGTGTCTACAAATAGATGAATGGACTTAAAAAAATATTTCATTCACCTTCATCATGGGGGTGGAGGATATAAGATATCATGTGTGGTTATAAATACATGTACATACCATTAATCCATACACACCAGATCTTCCTGCAACTTTGTAGAATACAGCCTCTTTACCACGAGAATATGCATGCAAACAGGAATTAAGGCAAGCCAGAGGAACGGAACCACTGCAATATTTTAACACCAGTAATCTTTTCTTACAAACATTTTGATTTGTAATCCCCCCAAAAACGTAAAAGATCATACCAGAAGTATGAAACCAGAAGTCTCTGATGAGACAGTGTCTCTACTGATTTGATTAATAATGAAAGTTGCAAATGAACTAGTTCCATCTAGGAGATGTAACATGACTGACAAACACACTCATATAATTGATATATTTTTATAACATACGGTTATTTATTTTAAAATAGCCTATGTGTGTGTGCCTGTAATCAGTTTTTATTGAAATTAATTTAAAACTGCAAGAGGATTATCCAAGTGGCAATTTGAATACAGACAATATCAGACAGCTAGACAGATGGACACCATTTCAATGCATAAGCTCTTTTGGACTCTGACGATATAAACTTTATCATCCACTTTTTAAATTATCCTTACATACTTTGTTAAAGCTCTGAATATGGAGAGTCTAAGCCAAAAAAAAAGTGTATTGTATAAGTGGAATTTTAAGCGAGACGCAAATTTAGCAATTTGTTCTAAAAAATCAGTTTTTAAATTTACCAAAAAGTAACTTTAGCAATTTTATGGTGCATCAAAAGAAAACGGTTACTTCTTATGCAAAATAAATTGTTAGCAATATTAAATTTTAGCAATCTCAACACTCTTGCTAAAAATTCCAAAACTGGTTCCTTGCTACAATTTCTGCTTATACAGTATTCATTTTAAATACATGAGTTCCATATAATTGTCATGAAGCATTCAAATCCTTGTGCTCTGACAGGATAATTAACATATGAACTCTTTGGAAATATACCTTATATCTTTTAAATTGTCTTCTTGAATTGATTTTAGTATTGCCTTATGGCTCATAGGTGTCTGTTTATACTTCTCCAAAACCTGAAATTACATATAAAGCATACTTTAAATGACTGTATGTGTGTTGATTGAGGCAGGTTTCTCCACACAATTGGTAATTTTTTTTTGCTTTGTTGTTGTTGTTTTCCTTTTACATACAGGCAAACAGGATTAATAGTTTACACTGGAAAAATTCTTCAAAGCAAATGCAGTGTTTAGTGACTTTATTTAAAGAATCAGGGTAAATTAAAGTTGAATTCAGCAAACCTAAGAAAAAAATCTCTTAATATCTCTAATGGAAAGGGGGAAGGGGAAAGGAGGAGCATATACTCTTACCGAATTTTGATAGCATAGCAACAAGTTACATAACAATAACTTACTTGAAAAAAATTCTTATTCAAATGAGTTATGGTAATGCTTAATGGCCAATGTTTAATAGGGTAAAGATTATTAAATTATGAGTCTTCAGCTTACACTCTGACCATAAAATGTAACAAACATTTTGACAGTTTCTTGGGGGAAAATAACAAAACAAAACAAAATATACAATCTAAATTATATTAAAATATATTAGGTATGATTAATTATTTTCTACATGACAAATGCTATCGGTATATAAAAAACACTGTTTTAGAAAACACGGGTCATTAATACCGGATACAATAACCTGGGGCAAAACTGAAAATTCCAAAATAATATTAATTTTAATATAATTTTGTTTGGAAAATTTACACCTTTCTGCAAAATCAAGTTGGATGGCCTAGACTTTGATTTTCTTTTTATAAGTCCGGTCTTTACAAAATATTAGACTACCGGTATATGTCGCTATATGATCAAATCAGAAACAATTAATGTTTGTTATGTATAACTGTAACATACATATGAAAATTCCTAAAAATGGTTTTTAATCATAAAAGAATAAATAAATGAAATACCAGAGCTCTCGATTCTCTGTAATTGGGGCCATTGAACGGCCCCATTCCCAATGCAAAAAGGTACCTTTTTTCCCCAAAGCAAAGTGTTAATTATCTTTTTTTATAACAAAATATTTTTTTTTAAAAATCTTCATCGATGAAACTTAATCACCAACAAGTGAAAGTTAAACAAATAGGGCTGTCACGAGTACCCAAAATAACCAAGAACCATGGTCCAAGTTATTCGGTTCGGTTTCGGTTCCATTTTTCCGGATTTCGGTTCGGGTCTGATTTATATATTAGAATCTGTTTAATTACATAAAATGGCGTCGAAATCAAAAGAATAAAGACGGCAACAGTGATAAATAAAAATCACAACTGAAATCTACTTCATTCCATGACAAAACACTTGTCAGGAAAGGATTAGATCATTATCAAAATGAGCAGGAATGGTCAGGTTGTGGCTAATAGTAGGCCTAGTAATCCTTACACCGATGGCTAGATGTTAACATGGTTAAAACTTGTTTTCAATGTGAATTTAATAAAACAAATAAAGATTTTTCAAGTTAAATTCACCAAAGTAAGGATTAAAATAGATGTAAATAACCGAACCGAAAAACCCAAAACCACAGCAAAAATTTACAGAACCGACCCAACCTGAAAAATTTTGGAACCATGACAGTCCTAGAAACAAACTAGTTTCCCAATTTGGTTTTCCCAATTTTCCCCAAAATGACGAAAATTTTCCCAATTTGAACGCCCCCGGCCCCATGCAGTCCAAAAAAGTGGTGTGAGAGTCCTGAATACAAATAATGTCATTACTATAAAGTATGTCGGTTAGAATTGAGAAATGCTGCAATCTCTCTAAACAGCTCTATAAATATGTTTGAAATTATTTGAATACAGAATTTTCAGATTCGTCATAGGTGATCACATACAGGTTTAATGACTCCGCGGTTTTCTAAAAAGTGAATTTCTGAAGAGCGATAGCACTTATAATGGGAGAAAATGTTATTTAATTTCAATGTAAGATATTAAACATCGGAAGAATTCAACAGTTCAACCATTCAACCACAATGATCAAAAATATCGTAAAATGTTGGTTTCCAACTGCCTATCCATTTTAGCATCTTGGAAATAAAAGAAATGAATACAAAATCAAATTGTTGAATATTTCAAAGTGAATTTTACAGCAAATACTTATTATCACATAAGAAATATGATCTGAAAATTCAATTTGATTGATAAAGTATTATAATACCCGTTTTTGCCTATCCATTTTACATTAATGCTCCATTTGGTTGTGTAAATTTCGGTGGCAATTCAGATGGGATGCTCCCTAGCAAGGCCTTTGAGCTCTGCTTGGCGCAAAAATAAATCAGATTTACACTTGCTTTGGTTGCATTATTCAAAAGATCATTAAACTGGGCTGATAACAGAGAGAAGGGAAAAAAAGCTAAAATGTTCAAATCACACAAATCTCCACCGAGACCATCAGGCTACGATGACAACTTATTTCCAATCTTGTCCTTTCCATTTATAAACTATATGCAACATATATATACACAAAATCCTTAATTATAGTTCAGGAACAGCCTTTTCTTCCTATCAATGATGGTATCATAACAAACTAAAATTCTGAAGTAAAGCACAAAATCAACATCATTGATTTCAGAGATATAAATATTTCATTAACATTAACAAAAGAAATACATATAACTATGCTCTGACAGATTAACACATGCATATAACACCTACACTGACCATTTATAGCAGTCATCCATCTGATACTAAAAAAAATGGCATACGCCTAATCAATATATATGGGGAATTTTCGTCTTACAAGTTTAGCTGCTTCAGCCCATGTTCTTGACTTCTTCTTTACTTGCTTATCTGTCTGCATTATTTAAGAGATTTCATTTTGATCAATTTATAAACATTCAGTACAAAAGATTTTTTTTATCAACATCAAGCGCCATTTTGGAAATTAATCGTTCAGAACGGGGCAGTGATAAACGGATAAAAACGGAATGCTCGAAAAATAAAAAGACTTTGATGATAAAATCACGAAATTGCAGTTATATGATGTTTTGATTATGCTTTGTATTTAAAATAAAACAATCAAATATTACTTTTTGTTGAAATAAAATATGTGTAGCTCATATCAATCATTAATCTGATGCTGAAATAATCACCTATTTTCTTACTCGCAATTGTGCTCCATTTTTCACAGCCATCCAATGAAAATCAACGATACAAAAACTGCTTGGAAACTAAAAATGGAGGACAGGATAGCATAAACAATCAAATTAATGAAATTTTAGTTTGGAAATAATGTAAAGTACGTGGTAAAAGCAAAGTATTTTGATTCAGATTGATATATTATATGTTTTCATACATAATTTCTTAAGCGAAGTTGTGCATCGATAAGTTTTTTTTAAAAAATAAACAGATATATTGCAGGTGTTTGAATAGCACAATGGCGGATGTATACTGTCGTCCCCTACAGGCTTTAATAAATTAATTCAGTGCTTTTATTTTTCATTATTATGAGAATTCAAGAGATGAGAAGTACATATATTAGTGTAACTACGGTACCATAGTCCCAACCTCTTAAAACCTGCATTTAAAAAAATGTATTCAAATTTCCTTAATATTTATACCCCCGCTCCGAAGGAGAGGGGGTATATTGTTTTAACCCTTTTGTGTCTGTCTGGCTTTGTGTCTGTCTATCCATAACAAATTTTTCGTTGTCGTTTTCTTAGAGACTACTCGTATCTTAGCAACTACTCATTGCAGTTGCTTGAAATTTTATCACACTCTTTGTTGAGGCATGTCATATGGTGGGGTTCATTTTTGTATGATTAATCCGATGTCAACGTCCTGTTTATCCATGCATCTGTCCATACCATATATAACAAATTTTTGTTAGTTTTCTCAGCAACTACTCATTGCAGATGCATGAAAATTTATCACACTCTTTGTTGAGGCATGCCATATGATGGGATTCATTTTTGTATGAATCCGATGTCAATGTCCTGTTTATCTGTGCATCTGTCTATACCATATATAACAAATTTTCGTCACAGTTTTCTCAGCAACTACTCATTGCAGATGCATGAAAATTTATCACATCTTTGTTGAGTAATGCAATATGGTGGGATTCATTTTTGTACGAATCTGATGTCAACTTTTTGTTCATCCCTGTGTATGTTCTTAACTGAACTTGTGTGTATTCACATCAGAGGGGGATTATTACTAGTGAGCGGGATTATTACTAGTGAGCGTTGGCCCACAGACTTCTTGTTTATTTTTATTTCCCTAATTTATTACACCTTTTGTAGTATATTCACTTAAGTTGTTACTTTATGAATAAATTTGTACAATTGCATGAACTGTAAATGATTAAATACTGCATATCTGCTCAGGAAGTAACACAATACTCCAAATTTAAACTTGCTGCAAAAGTGCTTATGTTAAGTTAATAACATAGAGAGATGTATAATAATTTGACACTTATCAAATTTACTGATGGAGATAATTTTTAAATCCAGTTAAAACCAAACTAAAACATTTCATACCTGTATCCCTGTGTAAACATTTATTGTGTACAGTGTAATATAACTTTCATTTGTTGCAAGAATTCAAATTCCAGGATGCTTATAAAAGACATCATTCATATTTTTTCCTTTTATTTCTTCATTTAGAATTAATGTTCTTCTCCTCTCCTTTAGCTTTTTACAGGTAGTAGGCAATAACTTGGATTATTCCTGTCAATATGTCAACTGTAAAAGTTGTACGAGTTGAGGAGATTGAGAGGTCAAATACCGAGGACTTCCCTAAAAGAGGGTCAGAAGAGCAAGTCTCTCAAAGTAAGTAATTATTGAATAAACAATAATTTAAAACTGCAGAAAATTGTATTATATATATATTTTTTTTTTTTCGAGATAAAAATTAAAAACACAGTTACACTCTTAACTTTACAGCCGCAGAATACCTAAACACAACTGAGTTGGATGAACCAGATAATGAAGCAGAAGAGATTCAAGGTATATGCTCCATAGAAATCAAAAGGTCTTTATAATTAATAAAATAATATACTTAACTTTAACTGATAAAGTAATGCATTCATGAAATTTTTTAATGTGATCACAGGTGAATGCTCTAGTCATTAAATGCATTTCTAGTAAAATCACAGGACAGTAGACATCATTCATAATTTTTTTAATGCACATTTTTATGAACTGATGATTTTGTATTCAGATAAAGTCTACCCATTACCACAAAACTGGCCCAGGATACCACAGATCTTCAGGAGGAAAAGCTGTGAATTAACAAACAACACAACACCATGTGTGAACAAGGCAGTCTCTCACCTCGAATTGATTCAGGGAATCATCGAGGAGTGGTTCAAAGAGCGAGAGGAAGAATGCAAAGAGCAAGTTTTACCTATGAGACCAGGTATATTTTGTAGAATTTTCAATATACTTTGGTTTTGTTTAAATTGTGAAAGATATTTGCTCTCTGAACACCATTTAAATTTTTTTTAAATGTCAAAATGAAGAATATAAACAAGGTGAATACATTATTAAATGAAGTAACTGTGTCACTGAATTTGTTTATTTCAGAGTTTAACAAAACACATTTATTTTCATTGTTGTAGATTTTATTTTGTAGACTAAATTTAGAATTACACGTTCCATACAAAAAGAATTCTTTTATTATAAATACAGTAAAAAATATCTAATCTGACACCTGTGCAATCTGTTTCACCATGAATTCCAACCTATATTTTCACTCCCACGTTACAATTCTCTATGATCTTTACGCTGTGCAATCTGAAACCCTGTCTATTCTGACACAAAATTTCTTTCCAAGTTCATATTGAATTAAACCTGCTTCACTTTATAAAGAAGACTCCAAATTGAAGGGATTTTTTGCATTTCAGTGGGCAGCAAAAAACAGCTAAGGTTTTCCAAGTCCTCAGAGGAGGAAGGAAGGAAGGGGAGTGGAGAAAAGCGTGATGCGAGTGCATTATCTCGCAAGTCTGGATCCACCGACAGATCCAGTCATCCCTCTACTCCTTTGTCCATTCATGGAGTGGGAGCTGTCAAGGGTAAAGAAATGATAGTACCGTAAATAATAAACTTAAAGCTGTATTGTCTTAATTAAGAGATATTGCTCTCAAAAAGTACACAAATGTATGTTTGTCTGCATTCTCTAAACATTACATTATGGGTAGAAATATTTGAATGATGTATCATTAAGAATATCTTAGATATGATTGAATGCTGAACAGATAACATCTAATAGTACACACCAAGTATTAAAAGTAAGGACTTATTTATAGAGTTTACTGTTTTACGTTTATTATCATGCTCTTATTAGACACAGAAGAACAACCGACAGGAGGATTGGATATTCCGTATCTTGGTGCTGAAGATGTGATTGAAGAAGTGATAACGCTGCTTGCTCGACTAGAAAATGATAAAATGGAAACAGAAAAATTCCTGAAGAATGAGGAGGTGCGAGTAGAACGCCTCAGTAATAAGATTGACAACCTCTGTCTGCGCAGAATGACAGAGCTTCCCGCTATTGTTCAAAGAGGTAATTAGAATGAACTTCCACTGGATTCAATTTCTACAAATTACTGTATAAAGATGTTACTATTTGATTATTTTTGTTGTAGGAAATCAAGTTAGATTTACATATTAGTAATATTGGTCAATATGGGATGTCATAAACTGACAACTGTATATATTGGCTTGTTCTAAAAGCTTATTAAATAATTTAATTTGTTTTTCTTATATTTGACAGTCATGGGCAAATGTCAATGAACTTTTAGACATCCTCTTAAATAATAAAAGGGAAGCAAAACAATGATTTCAGAACTGAGCAAAAATGGGGATTTTGTTCATAGAATGCAAAAATTTTACCAGTATTGGTATTTGGTTAAATTAAATTGTTATTTTATATAATTAATTGGTACTGTTTTGTTACTGTGTATGGTAACAAATCTTTATTGACTAAGTGTTGATCAATTGTAAAAACAGCATAAGATTCTTATAAGAATAAATGCAAATTAATTTTTCCAGAGCATGAAGCTTGTATTATGGATTTGAATGAACTCACCTGGCATTGTAACTATGGAGGTAGAAATGAGCAGAGAGTTCGAAACAAAACAAGTGCTGCAGAACTGCTTAACAAGCGTCTAAAAGATGACATTGCATTTGTGAAAAAGCATATGTAAGTAAATGCTATGATCAGAGATATGAAACAGTTTTAAATATTCCACTCAGTGTACTTATAATTATATAAAATATGAGTAAGATCTCAATGCATCTTTCCTTTTAGACCATTAGTAGAAGAAAAATTAGAATTGGAAAAGCTTGCCATGGAGAAAATAAAAAATGCACAATCCTCAGTAAGTACTATAGTACATTATTGGAGGTTTTGGTATGCATGAAATTATGAATTTATAGATTTCTTAGTGTGACCGCTTACTTAAAAAACACATTTCCATTTCTGTGTAAAACCTTGTAGTCAAGTTGGTTTCATTTCTTATCAGACAACAACCGAGTTAGATAATACCAAGGAGAGACAGGAGAAGACCAAGTCCAAATCACAGGAGGCTGAGAAGAAAGCCCAGTCTGAGAGGGGTCACATCAAGAAGGAACTGGACACTGTTAGGGATGCACTCTCTGCTATTAGGTATACAAGGGGTAAAAAGTTAAAAATAAAGGTGACATAAAAAACATATACCAATTCTAGAATCGGATGAAATTGTGGTTTTAATTGTGTACAAGAATTTTTTTTATTTCTGTTTTAATGCCACTTTGATATGCTTAAGAATAAAAAAAAATGTATAATTGAACCTTTAACTGAAAATATCCATGTTTTATTTCAGTGAGGAATACTCCCAGGCTAAGATGACATTTAATGCCTACATCCACCAGGTGAATGACATGCAGCAGCAACTGAAGGATAATGATGAGGAACTTAAAGT